TATATATATATATATTGTATATATATATATATATATATATATAGTGCATTGTGTTATTCCAAACGTAGCCACTGAGACATAGTGCTTGTGGTGTTTGAGGAGAGACTCACACTCTGTGATCAGGTGCACCAGGCCTGAGACGGCGGTTCCCAGCTCATTGGCCACATAGCAGCGGTACGAGCCCTGGTAGAATCGGAGTTCCTCTGTGTCATCTGCTGTCAGGGTTCCAGACTCAAACAGAACCTCCCCAAACTGTTTGCCATCTTTGACCCAGCGGAAACTGTCAGTGTGGGGCAAGAAAAGAAAGACAATTTTAAACTTAAATCTAAAGACATACAGATGGAGAGAGAAAAACGAAGGGGTACATAGAGTTGTGGTCACAAGTTCACAGAATCTGCCAAGAGTACTGCCATGAACTACAGAATCAGAAAGAGCGCACACACACACAAGGAATTTGTCTTGGTGTCAGAAGCTTCCAGTACAGAAAGTACAAACACAATGCAGACATACATATAATTTAAGGTAATAAAAACATTAATAATTAAGAGAATAGACAATAATTATAAATAACAATATAATAATAAAATATAGATAAAATAGACAGAATTGTGAATGTGCATATGTGCTATTTACAGATGAAAGTTTTGATGAGTTATTTACAGATGTACAGTCCTGAGGTGTGTTATGTGTTGTTCAGTTGACCCTCCCTGGAGGCTCACATAACAGATGTTTCCATATAATCCACAAGACAAAAGAATGAGCCTGTTCAATAGTTTACCTTGATTCTTAATATCATTACCTGGGTGATCCACACCTGTTTGTTTTGTAATAGTTGTGTATGAGTGCCTAGTTTGTCCTGAGCAGTTCAACAGTCCACTGTTCAGACAAATCCTTTGCTTGTATTCTGCATACGTGAACCCTTTCCATTAGTAACTGTGTGGTTCTCACACTGAGGATGACTGAGGGACTCATACACAACTATTACAAAAGCTGACCACAGATATCAGGGGTGTTCAGTCCAAAGCCTGCAGCTGTCTGTAATGACCAAGCGCTCCTGAGGATCTTAATGAGCTGCTTCATATGTGTTTGATAAGGGTTGGAGCTGAACTTTGCAGGAAGGTACAGTAAATGGGCAGCTCTGCTGTATGTAGTGATGTCAGAGAGATCGTCAATCACCAATAATGATTCACGGTGAAGATCAATGAGAATTTTTCAAAACTCTGATGATGTTCTGACCTGATCTTTGACTTTCCAAGCCCTGGGAGTCTACAGTAGTGCACATTTTGTATTTAAAGTATCTGACCCATCCGGTTCAATGATTTGAGACAAGGGTGACAGAAAATGAGTTGAGGGATTTATGTTTGTCAGTTGACCAGGGCAGGAGGAAGGACCGTCTCAGACTCACCTGGGTGTCGGATCTCCACTGGCTTCACAGGCCAGACTGACATCATCCAGAGAGTAAGCGGTGTGAGACCCGGGCTGAGCTGTGATCTTCGGAGCTTGTTTTACTGGGGGAAACCACGGTTGAGCAGTGTTTTGAGTTACATTTACATTTACAGTTGGGCATTTAGCAGACACTTTTATCCAAAGCGACTTACAAATGAGGACAATAGAAGAAATCAGACTAACAAAAGGGCAATAATATGTATTAATAACAATAATAAGTAATAATAAGTGTATAATAATAAGAGCTGTGATAAGTCTCAGTTAGCTTAACACAGTATACGTAGCAAGGGTTGTTTTTTTTAATAAATAAAAAGTAAAATAAGTTGATAGAACAGAAAAAGAATAGGGAACGCTAGTGTTAGAGGGTCTTTAAAAAAAATAGAATTAATAAAACAAGTCAAAAGAATAGAGAATGCAAGTGTCAGAGGCTCTCTCTTTTTTAAAGAAGACAAGTAGTAAGAATAGAAATAGAATAGAGAGTGCAAGTATTAGAGGGTCAAATGACGATTCGCATCTGTTTGGTGTGAGAACAGTTGTTACATCTTTTATGAAAAAAAAAACAGGACATTACAACATGCTCCTGAACTTTCTCATAGTGTTTTCCCCCTAAAACACCTATAAACATTTGAATAAAGTCTGTTAAACAAAGTAGTGTCCATATCTGTATCTATCAGTTGTTTTAGTGTGATTACACTAAATTATACTGTCTCACAGCACAAGAAAAATCTATTTGTAGTAGCTATAATTCAAAAACTCAACTGTTCGAGATACTCATCAGAGCCAGAAATAAAGGAATACACACAGAGGAAGCTGAAGTACTTACGGCTGTCATGTGTGTCTGATAGAGCAGCAGAAGGAAGCAGTGAATGAGAGAGAGAGAGAGAGAGCAGGGTTAGGCAGAGTCATGCAGGCACTCAGACTTTGAGCTGTTTCTGGTGATGTGGAACAGCATCCCATAGAGAAGTGCATTTATCACAGTGTTTCTTCCTAACAAAATTCAACAAAGAAATCACATTCCTAAATGATTCAGTCCATGTAAATGTGTCTGAGGTCAATCCTTTCCCTCACCCATGTAAGATTTCATTAGACAGAAGGAGTTCAGCACAATATAAGCAGCTTTCTGGAGGACACGAACAATGGGAAAAAAAACAGACATTAAGACTAAGATGTGACTTTTTGGCTTGCTGCTCTCTTACATACAGTATACACAGTAGGGCTGTCAATTCATAATATAATTGGGGGGAAAAAAAGGGAAAAAAATGACGCATTATAATTCTTAAGGCATTTAAGGCACCTGGCCTCTCTGTGGATCAGTGACGAACATCATGCAGGGCAACAGCTCACTGCGTGATGGAGCCTAGAATGCAGGAGACTGGGGCATAAATGTCCCTGTTCGAGTTTCTGTCTCATATTTATATCATATCACGAGCAACGAGTGCAATATCATACGTGCTGTTTCTGTCCCGAACACCACAAGTGCAAATGTTATAATAACTTTATAGTTCAATAAATAAGTTCATGTGTTAGATTTTTCCCCCTATTTTTTGTTTTGTTTTTGCACAATTTTGCAAACAAAAAATGACCAATAAAGCCACAGCAGAACTGTTTCTGAATGAATCTAGAATTTGAATGAATCAAATGAAGAAACGACTCAATGACTTTTTCTCTTGGAAGTCATTTCTCAGCCAAATTTGGTGTGCAATTAATTAGATAAAAAATTTTAATCACTTTAAAGCCCTAATTACACTGGTAGTCCAAAATGAGTGTTTTTTTGTTAAAGCTGTTTGGCCTTTAGTTGTTTTTGTCACTCAGTGTGTATGTTTTGTTAGTTTCCCATCATTTGTAATTATGTCATCTGTTTCAAGTGTCTTGTTTCCACCCTTATATTTTAGTTACTCAGTTTCACTACTGTCTTTGCTTGGTGTTTGTGTGTTGTAAGCCGCCTGCCTGAGGAACAGCTATTGTGTCATTATTTGGGGATTATTTTTCTTTTGGCACTACGGAGAGGGGTTACAGACGAAAAGGGCTTTTCAAGCATCAAGTATCACATTACAGTGTCTTCTGTAAATCATGGTAAAAATGTATGATAGTCATCATCTTTTACTCAGAAAATAAATAAATAAATAAATAAACACAACACATTGTAATGTATGGGGAAAAAAAAGATTTGTATCGTCTCTTTATTCCAAATTAATCTTTTGCAATTGCATCCTGCTCTCCTTCCTCTCTAAGTTGGCCTGCATCACAGAAGACGTGACCCTCAATAAGGATCCAGCACATCTACTTGTAGGCTTCTGGCAAGGTAATAATAAAGCACATGAGGAGCAATCATGATTTTTTTTGTCAAAACACTGTTTGTGCATTATGCACGATTAGTGAATAAGACACGGTATCTTTGACCAAATCATTGCAAATTATACGTCTGATTAAAAAGCATTTCTTAACATACCACCAAATACTCCGTTTTGTGTCAAAAAGTGTGAAACTGCACCCAGGCAGTGTTTGTTAATCGCCATTAAAGAAATGACTGCTAAAAGCTCAACACTTCGCAAAACACTGTAACTGCACATTATTCAAGATTCTTTCTGAATGAGGTTTAGAGTCCGGATGGACTGTCACTTACAATCAGGAGGGATTTGAATGTATCCATGTGTTTGTAGCACACTGAGGAAGAGGAGCAGCAGATGAAGATATGTCCTGTTGCTCCCTCTTCTGCCTGCCGGCTGACACTGAACTAGAGGCATTCTGCATCAAACACAGCTGGGTCCAGACAGCCTCCACTGGAGCGAGAGACGGCTCACGTCTGACTCCACACACCTCTGATCTTCTGCAGGAGAGAGATGAGAGGCAGCTGTAGGAGAACGCAAGCAGGTGACCGAATTAGAACAGATGAACGATTTACCCTAACCCATCAGTTCATATGAAAGCATGGACAACCCAATAGAGAAATCAATACAGCAAAGAAGAAATGGCAGTGAAACCGGAAGGTGCATAAAAGACAAACTCTCATTATGCATTCATGAATGCTAATGACACCATTCTAAAAACGTGAACTTCCCTCGAGATCAAGAAAAAAATGTATGTGTGAAATTTCATTACCTACATAGAACGAAACACACACACAGACAAAAGAGAGAGAGAGCGAGAGAAAAGAACAATAAGAACACATTTGGATATTACTTTAAAGAACAAGAACGCTCATATAGGCAAGTAAGAGGCAAGTAAGAGTATTATTACATTATCCTGTGGAGAAAGCCACTCTGAACTAAAGCGAGGTTTGACGTCTGTTTACTGAATAGCTCTCATGTGATCACAGCAACCACACATGATATAATCAGCTCTGGGTCCTGCACAACCTAACATGCTCATCTACAACCAGATTCTCTAGCAGCCGCATTAATGATCGCTATATATTACAACTATATATCCATATAATATATAAACAGTTTATATATATATATATAAACACTCTTTTATATATGATCTTTTTCTAAATAAATGGATGAATTAAATTTAAATGTAAAATCTGAGAAAATACTTAACTATGTATGTGTTTTAAGTATTGCTTAGATTATTATAGCTACTTTTTAAAGTAATAACTCTCCTTTCTTTGTCTTGTTCTGAACATGAGCAGCAGGGAGGGGTGCGGCACTATGTGTGTGTGCGTGCGCGTGTGAGTGTGCGTGTGTGTGCGTGCGCGTGTGAGTGTGTGTGTGTGTGCGTGTGTGTGTTATGGCAAGCCAAAGTATTCACATACGCCTGGACGGGCGTCTGATTGTTCACTGACACGTCAAAAGCGAACGATTTGACAGCAAAACGCGCGTCCTCGACGTGTGATTTGCTGTAAAAATTTGACACACGTTTTTGACATGCGTTTATCATAATAGAAATGGGCGTCGAATACGTGCGTTTTGAGTTGGACAAAATGCAGTTATGAACGTGTAAACAGGTAAACCAAACAGGCAGTGCAAACGTCTGTCTGAAGTATCCAAACAGGCGAAAAGAACGTGCTCTTTCCTTAGTGTTCTCATACTTGCACGTCGAAAGCGTGTGCTCACTTTATAGGGCTTGAGTCTAAAAAAAAGTGTTATCAGATTAAATCTCGCATAACATGTTCTACTAAGAATTATATATTTATTTACTTCAGTATTCTGTCCATTGATGTATGCTGGAAAGACATCAAGGTCACTAATTAAACATAAATCATCTATTCGACATGATGTTACTTCTCCAATCGCCAGACATTTTATTGATTGTAACCATGATAATAGAACAACTTAAATGTATATTGAAGATGTGAAAGTATCTCAACGTGGTGGAGATATTGACAAAAAACTTTTACATAGAGAAGCAATATGGATGTTTTATTTAAAGACAATGTCAACTTCATGTTTTCTGTAAAAAAAAAAAAAAAAACTCTCTCTCTCTTTCTTTCTGGGTACAATGTTTATGAACAGCATTGTTTGCCTGATGTACTACTGTTCCCTTCAGTGGCGCCTTCAGGGGGCTTAACAGTTCAGAGGGGGTGCTAAAAATCGAATGAACGCCTATAAGCTTCAGCTATCTAAACAGCATGAAAATTCAGCCACCTTGTGATTTTTATATACAGCAACTTCGATATACAGCAACTGCGAGCATATATGGTCCCACTCTAAAAGAGTGTTAAAGTAACACTGAAGCAGTGTTAAAGTTAATGAGATAATTAAGTGATTAATTAAGTGCTGATTGAGCATAAGTGATGAACAGCTGCTGTTAACAAGCAGAATCACTGAAGAAAAGAGAAACACGAGAACTACAACTGACTTCAGCCACAGCCCAGACAGCAGACAGTTTCGGCCCAGATCCGGCCCGCATGGATTTCACATGGGCCAGATGTGGGCCGGATCTGGGCCAACACTATGTTGCTGTCTGGGAGCCTTAGATTAAATCAACTGAAATAAAAGACATTAAATCCATCAAGATCTCAGCAGAAGATGATTAATCATCTCCACAAACAGCATCACCAGCTTCACACATTACTAACCAGTTTGACTTTTTGTTTGCCATGCGTCTAAAAATTTCTTATTTGAAGTCACCGTTGTGGAGATAAGTGTTTGTTTTAGTTGGGCTCTTCACCCTTGACTTTTTAACATTATTTTTTTCTGGTTGCTGTAACTGTGTTTTTGAAACACATTTGTTATGGTAAGAAAAACCAAGAGAAATTCTGTTTAGATTATATTGGCTGTTTTTTTTTTGATAATGATGTAATTGTCATGTAGTAGTCAGGTTCACTGATGTTATCAGTGGTAATGTATAATATACAGTAGTTTATGTTCCTGATCACAACTGTATTTTAATGAAATAATAGGAATAACTTTAAAAACACTTTGAACACTAGTTTAGAACATCTGCACTGTTTAGACACGCAGACATCAAGAATCAGCTGTGAATCTCAACAATGGTGACGATCATCAGACAGATTCATGTTGCATTGCATTCTGGGTGCACCAATCATAACTCATCCATGGCTCCCAGCATGCATTGCGACATGAATAAATTATGCAGCTGCATTGTCTTAGTATTTTCTTTAATTTGTACTATTTGCTTTTATTTTTGTTATTTTTTGTTGACTTTTTACTGCCTTGTTTTGTGACGTTCAAAAATCAAATAAAAATTATCAGAATATTTTGTCACCATTGCTGAGATTCACATGCTGATTCTTCATGTCTATGAGTGCCAGAATTGAAACCTCTTTATTAACCATATTTATAAAAGTCGTTTATGAAGATGTTCTGACATTGCCATCAACATAGCAATACAATATATAAATGCATATATAATGTATTACAACTATATAGAAATCATAAAAGCACTACAGTTTTAGATAAATTGCAATCAAAGACTCAGACACATGAAATGAGTTTACCATAAGTTCCTTGCCATCACACATGTGTTTAATACACACAATTGTGCCAGCCAAAGATAAACTTAATTTTAAAAAATCAAGGGTCAAGAGGCAACTAAAGCAACCGCTATTCACAAAAATGGTAAGTTGAAGAAGCACTGCTTCAGTGTTACTTTAACACTCTTTTAGAGTGGGATCATATATGCTCCGAGCAGTGTTAATTTAACACTAGGGAATTTACTGTGTAGTAATTTAAAGCTTTCTATATATTTTGATCATGTCTGAGTTTAGGTTCATCATTGTGAAGCGCTCCTGCTCAAGACTGAGACGGCAGAAAGCGTTTGTTTTCTTTATTTTATAAAAGCACAACATTTTGTTGATATTGTGAGTGCACACAAATAAAACTAGACCCTTTACTGTTTAGAATGATGCATTATTATTTCCTTTATGAGCAAACATGATTGCATATTTTAAGTTGTTTCCAATGTTAGAAAAAAATGCAAGTGATCGCGCTGGCGCCTCCGTGTGCTGCAGAGCTTCAGCTTCCACTCTCAGCACAAACTACTGGATATAGCGCACATTTATCTAGGTTTAACATTTAAACTAAAATTGTGATATGCTTGAACTGTTTTATATATAGATTTTATTTTAGGCAAGTCGTGATGATTTGAGAAGGCTAAATTGATAAAACATATGATCAATTCAATGTCTGCCTCTGGCCGCTTGGTCCTTACTTAAAAAAACTAACAAAAAAAAAAAACACACACATTTAACTTACATTTAACGAACATAAAATGTTCTAAATTAAATTTATAAAAAAACGAAACGAAATATAATTCATTTTCCATTACGTACAAAACTTAACTATTTTAATAGCTGAAACAGTAGTATAAGCTTTTTTTGGGAAAAGGGGAAAAAAGACTAGGCTAGGGCCTATATTTTAATTCCTGCTTTGATTTCAATAAAATACTTAAAGAGTGCAGACCAACCTTTGTAATATGTTGTTATTAAAAATCTAAATCTAAAATATAAAAATATGTCGTTTAAACATCTCGTCATTACGACTGAGAGGAAAAAATAATATGTATGTGGCAGGCAATGCCTTACCGTAATACCCCATATTGACAAAACATGACAGACTCAAGCCCTATAAAGTGAGCACACGCTTTCGACATGCAAGTATGAGAACACTAAGGAAAGAGCACGTTCTTTTCGCCTGTTTGGACACTTCAGAAAGACGTTTGCACTGCCTGTTTGGTTTACCTGTTTACACGTTCATAACGTGTTGAGTCGGACAAAACGCACATATTCGACGCCCATTTCTGTTATGATAAACGCACGTCAAGAACGCGCGTTTTATGGTGACTCCAAAGCGCGCGTCAACAACGCGCGTTTTTACAGCAAATCACACGTCGAGGACGGCGCGTTTGATACAAAAAAACGCACGTTTCCGACGCAAGTTTTCCGTGAACCCAAAGTGCATGTTAAGAACGCGCGTTTTTAATGCAAATCACACGTCGAGGACGCGCGTTTTGCTGTCAAATCGCACGCTTTTGACGTGTCAGTGTACAATCAGACGCCCGACCAGGCGTATGTGAATACTTTGGCTTGCCATAGTGTATGTGTGTGTGTGTGTCTGTGCGTGCGTGCCTGCGTGCGTGCACTGAAAAAAATGTTTCATTCATCCAATTAAAAAAATGTAAGGTAATGATTCACATCTATATTTTTTAACTTGAGCCAATGAAAAATAAATAACTTGCCAGGGCAAGTTGGGATGGATGAAACATTTTTTTTCAGTGTGTGCGTGTGTGCGCACTGTAATATTGAGCAGTAGCGGTAAGTGACATTAATGGATGAAATGGGGGAGCAGACATTTATCGTTCTGTCCATCCGTCCATCTATCTGTATTTGTTCTCCAGACAGTTGATTCGATCATGCTGAGT